GACACATACACACACAGACAACCTCTCGTCAATATGCGTTTTTCGCATTGCATTGCTGCAAAAAACGCATAAAAACACACAGACAACCTCTCGTCAATATGCGTTTTTTGCATTGCATTGCTGCAAAAAACGCATAAAAACTAAACATTCACTTGCGCGCACGTCAAACGTGCTTTAAAGCCGATTTTCAAATATTTGGTTGCTCATGGACATAGAATGTTGTAAAATTCCAGCTTCCTAGTTTGACTAATTGATGAAATCACCTCTCACTACAGACGCCTTTGCCCCGTCAGATCGTGCGATACTGTCGGAAATTCTTGCGTCCACGTCTCCACAAATACAAATACAAACGTATTTGTGGAGACGTGGACATAAGATTTCCTGGTAAACAGTGTGCTTTACTCAGTCTGATTCTCGAATTCGCATCTTACCTAGCATTTTTTAATATCAAATCTGGCGTATCCACACGCGTGGGATAGGCTCAATTTTTATAACTGAATTTGAAGTCGTTAGCCCACACAAGAGCATAAGACATCTTCATGGAATTTCTGCTTCCTATACTGTCCAGCGCCTGAAAACGTTTACCAGTCAATCAAGCTTTTTTTTAGATGACCATACGTAAGAATTAAAACATAAGTGAACTCTGATTTTAAATCGCGAGAATTACACATGGAGTAGGAAAATGCTCGAAAAAACATAGCTTCCTAGTTTCTCAGGTCCTGGAGTCGAAAGAGAGTGAAAAAAATACGAATGAACGCGCGCACACACACACACGCACACACACACGCACACACACGCACATACACACACAGCTTCTTCACAATTTGCGTTTGTGCATCATTTGCATAAATATGCAAAACGCATAAAAATGAGTATAAAAGGATGGAGTGACCTGCGGATGAGGCTACTCTATGAAGAAGCGACTACTCTATGGTGATTACGTAGTAACAAAATAACTCATTGAGGCAAGCATGACATGCTAAGGGAATGCTTTGGTGAATTAAAGTTATTTTCACCGGGAACTTTGGGACAGCAATCATTGATGTGAACCGATCCAGTGGGGCTCATTGGCTGCAAGTTGTTTGTCTCTTAGTTATGTTAGAAGTGAAAATAACAAAAACGCGATGGGCGCATGTGTGAGGCACCGTGCACAGAAAGTGATCAACACACCTCATATAGATCTCATATTTATAGGGTTTTTTTTTGTTAGTTTTCGAACATATTACAATTTGAAACGCATCCGGCGCATCAGGCAAAGTTTGGGGCAACATGTGCCATGGAAAATGAGTATTTCAAATTCTGCATAAAACACGGTACCGATGATTTAGATATGCATACAACTGAAAACCTAGGTTAGAACGCACCATGTCTGCCGGTACGATCATGCACTTTTCAGCATCAAACTTAAAGTAATCAGGTCACTGATGCATGAATAGTTGTTATGCGTTTTTGCATATATGTAAATTGCACAAACGCATATTGAGAAGAGGCTGTCTGTGTGTATGTGTGTGTTTGTGTATGTGTGTGTGTGTGTGTGTCTGTGTGTTCGCACCTTTTGTCACCCACTTTCAACTCGAGACCCAGAAAA